AGTGTTTTCAAAACACAAATCTAATTACATCATCCTGTCACCACCTGGCCCTGCCCTACTCCCCCAGCCCTAAACACGGTCCTCTCAGCCCAAATGAAAAACGCCTTCCAAGCCCCGGAAAGCTTCCTCCTGCCTTGGGGTAGATGGCCCTGCGGGGCCCTGCCATGTCTGGCCAGCCCTGTTGCCACCCTCCCGGACGCTGGGGCTCCTGCTGCAGGGAGCTTTTTCCTTGTAGACACCACACCCCCTACCTATACCTGGCCTCTGGACCTGCCGTTCCTTTTGTCCCAGGAAAGATCCCTCCACCGCTGCCCTCATCACTGTCAGCATCTCCTCCCACTGGTAGCTCAAAATTATCCAACGCTACCAACCAAGGCCTATTTTTTTCTGATAAATGTCCAGGCAAACTAAGAATGAGGCCTTCCACTGCCTGTTGTCGTAAATAACACCTTACTGGCACACAGTCACAGCTGCTGGTTGATTATTGCCTTTGACTCTGCCGCAGAGTTGAGTGGTTGCTATAGAGAATCAATGGCTTGCAAAGCCGGAAACATTTACTCTCCGGATCTTTGCAGAAGTTTGTCGCCCCTGTTTCAGGGGACACATACTTCTCCTTCCATCTCAGCCGAGGCCCTCGTCCTCAGGGTCGGCTGTCTTGGCTCTGGTCTGGATTTGGATCCTTGTCATCTGTGCTCACATCCCTCTCCTTCACAGCACTTATGTAGTTATTCGGTCACGACTCTGATCACGGCGCTCTCCCCAGCTACTCTTTGAGCTCTGGACTGACATCCCCGTTTCTCATGCTTCACTCTTAACAAGTAGCTTATGAGACTTGATCTGGTGTTAGAACAGCCTTCGCCCTTTGTTTGGTGTGAAGTTGGGAGTGTTTCCACCCTGGAACCTTCACCAAAAGGATGTTGGGGATGGGTGGAGGTGTGCCTTTCTTCTGTAAAGTGGGATTAAGGGATACTGCCAACACCTGCACATTCTCAGGACGGTCACTCATAGCAAACAGTAACTAAGGAAACTTCAGGATCTGGAAATGGGTGTTCTTAGAACCGGCAGTCCCACTATTCCTTGGCAAGTCTTCATGTCCCCACAGGGGTTGACGATCTCTGCCTAGGAGCCTGGTCTCACGGGTTCAGATTCTAGCTGTGCAGACTTAGACAAGTTACTTAACTCTCCTAAGACTTGGTTTCTGCAGGTGTGAAATGAGCACAGTAACAACAGTGCTTTCTTCCTGGCACCACGAAGGTTGCAGCACACCGACTGTGGCTGGGCTCCCTGTAGATCCACGGCCACACGTCTCAGCTGGGCACTCAGCCTTGCCCGCCTGCGCTACCGCGCTTCCCCAGCCCGTCCAGTTTCCCACTCCTCCAAAGCCTTATTCTGTTCCCTTTGCAGAATCCTCCAGCTGCAGTCGGCCTTCCCCACACGCCCTCCACCCCAGCATCTCCCAGGGAATGTCTTCATTGAGAAATTAGAAGTGGTCAGCAGTAAGGCCCTCGCCTGCCGACCACGAAACAGCCTGCCCCCATCTGTACCTTTGCCGCCTGCCAACCCGGCGCCCCTGGAGGAAGGGCCCTGCCCCCCACTTGTGCTTGGACCTCGGCCCCCTCGGCTTCCACTCCTGCACTTGGCACCCTCTTTCTTGCATCATCGTTTTCCCCGGCTCTGTTGGATCACTCCCATCGTTGAACAGTCCTGCTCTAGCATCTCTTGCCTTTGCAAAGAAAATCCCCTTTGTCTCTGCACCCCCATTTCTTGCTGCCTTTCCCACAGAATTCCCTTGAAAGACTCGTCTGCACCGGCATCTCCTTTCCTCAGCCACTCCAGTGGGTTCCTGCCCTCTGCGTGCCTCTGCACCTTCTCTGGCCAACCTCGCCTGTCCCCTAACCTTTTCACTCTTCTGGTCTGTTTCGTGTGATGGGCTGCTCCCATCTTCTTTTTTTTTTGGCTGCGCTGGGTCTTTGTTGCTGCACACGGGCTTTCCCTAGTTGTGGCGCGCAGGGGCTACCCTTCGTTGACGTGCGCGGGCTTCTCATTGCGGTGGCTTCTCGTTGTGGAGCGCAGGCTTTAGGTGCATGGGCTTGAGTAGCTGTGGCTCACAGGCTCTAGAGCACAGGCTCAGTAGTTGTGGCGCACGGGCTTAGTTGCTCCGCGGCAGGTGGGATCTTCCCAGACCAGGGCTCGAACCCGTGTCCCCTGCATTGGCAGGCGGATTCCTAACCACTGCGCCACCAGGGAAGTCCCTCCCATCTTCTTGAAATGCCTTTTTCTCTTAGCTTCTACGTTGCCAGACTTTTTCAAGGGTCTTCCTTCCCGGCTGGCTCCCTGTCTCATCAGTCAGCTAGCCTGGCTCCTTCCCCTTCTATCTGTATATTCTTCCCAGGTGGTCTCATCTGGTCTGGTGGCTTTAAATACCACGCATATGCCAGTAACACCCAAATCTCCCTCCACGCCCTGGCCTCGCTTGGGATTTAGGCAGGTCTGTCCAACGGCCCTGTTGGCCTCCCTGGGAGGCTCTCAACTTAGCAAGGGGAGGGGAGAGCACTGACTCCCAGCCCTGGCATCACTCCTCTCCTGGCTTGTGGCAGTAGCCTCTTCCTGGGCTCCTTTCCTTCACTCTTAGCCCCAGCCCAGTTGCCACACAGCGACAAGAGTGACCTTTGACAGAAGACACCAGACGAGGTCGTTCCCTGCTCAAACCTCAGCAGCTTCTCCCGTGCCCTTCAAATGAACTCCAGACCCCTTAGCCTGACCTGAACTGCCCTGCAGAATCCAGCCACCATCTCTCTCTCTCCAGCCGCTTTACTTCCATTCCTTCTGCCTCTGGGACGCTCCAGGCCTGTGCCCAGTTGCGTCACTCCCTGTCACCTTTGCCTGGAACGTGCTTTCCTCAGGGTCCCTGAGGGAAGGGCTGGCTCCTTCCTGTCCTTCAGATTCCAATTTTCTGTCATTGCCTTAGTGGCGTCCCTGGCTCCCCCCGCCACTCTCTGTCATCACATTGCCTATTATGATTCCCCGTACAGTGCTTATCACTCTCTGCTATTCTTCCTGCAGGATTTATGTGTTGTTTAGTATCTGTCTCCCCCTATTTGAATGTAAACTCCATGAGAACAAGACCTCTTCTCCTTTATCCCTGTTCTACCTCAAGCTCCTAGAATAGACCATGTACAAAGAAGACACTCAACAAATATCTCTTGGTTTCACAAAGGAGGTCATCTATGTAAACTCTACACCCTGTGCTTAGTGTATAATGGTGCTCTATACATGTCAGCCTCCAAAAGTATAGACAAAACAGGCACTGTGGAGGGACAGCTGTCACTCCCAGATCGAGATCAAAATATTATTCAGTGTTTTTGCACTGCCTGTCACAACCGTGTCAAACACGTGTATTTTCTTGTACTGGAATATGTAAAATCTTCTGACAGTTATTTCAGAAACCCAGCTAAGAGAGTCAGTTTTCTTCCCCAGAAATAGAAATAATCAAAAGCTTTCCAGCCTTAAAAGCAGCTGAAGTTTTACTGGGCAAACCAGGATGGAGGGAGTCATCAGATTCCTCGTGCGGGCAGATCCTCTCTCTTCTTTTTAGCAAAGATGCTTTCCCATCTGCTCAAGGAAATAGTTGGCTGTGTTCAAAATGTGCTTTTCAATGGCAGCAATCTGTCCGGGAGTCCACAGTTCGGGGGAATGAATGGCAGTCATTTTAAGTCTCTGACCTGTGGTTTGCCCTTCTCCCACTTCGTGTTGGAAATGTGCACAGTGGGAATGAAAAAGCATCTAATTGTATATCTGACTTCTGCCATGAGGCTCAGCTATAAATAAGGGCTCCTCGCTATTAGAGACCGGGTCATTCGTTCATCTAATAAAATGAGAGAATTGTCAAATAAGACCTTTGTAAGGAGGAATCATCATCAGAGTTTTTATTTGCAAACAAGGGAATCTACTCCAGCTACTTTAAACAGGAAGAATGTATTGAAGGGTATTAGTGGTGCACGGCTCCCCAGGATGGGCCAGTGCTTTGGTTTCAAATGCCATGCCACCAAGAACAATGCCCAAGCCATACACCCCTGCAAAGGTACACTGATGTGCGCTGACCAATGGTAGTGGGGACTGATGCTCAAAACTGCACTCTGCTTTCCTTGAAAAGCCAGTTGCCCCTGTCAACAGTCTCTCCAAAAGCTAGAGTCTCGTTGGTTCCCCACTTCCTCACATTGCTCATTTCCATCTTGAAGTCTCAGGCAGGTGCGTTGCCTCTGAGGGCTAGAGCCTACGTAAAATGTCTGCACCCAGCCGCAAAAGAAGCTGGGAGAGCAGCCTAAGTCTTTCACTTTGGGGCCTGAGTCTCATGAACGTGGAGAACATGTGACAAATAACACCCCCAGAAAGTGCCATTTGAGCTGAGAACCAAAGGATGAGAGGGAGTCAGCCCTTAGAAGAGTGAATGAAAGAACCTTCCAGGAAAAGGGAACAGCATGTGCAAAGGCCCTGAGGCAAAAAAAAAAAGAGAGAGTTGAGATATTCAGGGAACAGCAAGAAGGCCAGTGGCGCTGTAGCCCAGTGTGTATGTGTGCAAGAGGGGCAGGAGTCGGGCCTGGAGAAGTAGCAGGGGCTGGATCCTGCAGAGTTGGGTGGGTCACAGTAAGAAGTATGGGTGTAATTTCAGTGCTGTGGGAATCCATTGGAATAAGGGGATGACATGATCTGACTTCTATTTTTTAAAAGATCAGTGTCTTCTGAATATGGAGAATATAATTGAGAGGGGGACAGAAGACCAGTTAGGAGGCTTTTGCAGTTGTCTAAGGAAGAGGCAGTGACAGCAGGAGGCAAGGAGCAGAGAGATCTGGAAGGTGTTTTGGAGATGGATATTTCAGCACTTGCTAATGGTTTGGCTTTGGGAGTGGGGAGGAGGGGGAAAAATGGGAGAAGTCAGGGATGCATCCCAGTGTGTGGCTTAAGCACCTGAAGGTGTGTGGGGTTTGTGAGATGGAAAGTGAAGGGTCAGGGGTGGGGGAAAGCTATCAAGTTCAGTTTTGAACTTGTTAACTTTAAGATGCCTGTGAGAAGTGCAAATGGAGATGTCAAGTAGGTAGTTAAACATGCGAGGCTAGACCAGAGGAGAGGCCAGGGTTAGAGAAAAAACAATTTCTACCCAAGTTTCATGTATTTGTGACAAAATATGGGAACTGCGAGTGAGTGACCACCATGGAGCCATAGGCAAAGGCAGAAAGACATACTAGGCTTGGTTCCAGAAGAGCCGAATTTTCCCACCTATCAGTTATATAGCTTTGAGCAAATCTGAACCTCTCTGTTCTTATTTGCAAAATGGGCATCATGACTGGTATTGATTCTTATAGATTCAATCTAGGTTTAGGAGATGTCCCATAAATTGTTGTCTAGCCATGTCCTGTCAGAATGTTTGCTCGTTTTAACCAGAATTTTCCCAAGTTCCAGAGCATGGGTACATAAGGGTCATTTAACAATCATGATCCAAATTCCTGCAGCTCATTCCCATACCTGCTGATACCAGATCTGCAAAGCCCCCTTCCCTCGCAGACATTCCAGGGCATCCCCAGACTGAATCTCACGTTGGCTTAAAAGCACGTTTCCCTGCTGCTCTGTCCCATCACAGCTAACCCCTCAGTGTGCAGAATCTGAGCAGCAGGGTGGCACGGGGTGGAATAGTTCCATCTCCTCTATGCCATGGTAGGAAGGGGGTCCCAGAGGAGTCTTAGTTTACCCCCCAGCCCAGCAATAGTCACCTTACCTCATATACTCAGAGGGCGGTTGCTGGTCACAACACAAGAGAGTGGGTGGGAAAGGACTTTGGAGAAAGTTCACCATGTGCAGATTTTCTTTGCATATATCCTCCTAGTCCATACAATATCCCTGCACTGCACGGTACGTAATTATTATCTTTACTTGACAAAGGGAGAAATAGACTCAAACTGGTGAAAACTTGCCCCAGGCCACACGGCTGACTTCAGATGACGTCAGGATGCTGTCATTCTGAGCTCTTTCTGCATCATCATGCTGCCTCTCCAACAAATACGAGGGTCTAATAACTTCAACCAAGCCCATCTCCTTGCATCTATTCTCTGCTCCACGAGATCGCTCCGAGGCCTGTTAAGAATGAGCATATGATGCTGTACTGTGCCCCGGGAGTGTCTTTTCTCCATCAAGTCCGAGTAACCACTTCAGCACTATACAAATCAGTAGCTGTTGGACAACCAGCTGCGTGGTGGATGGGAAGCCCTTTCAGCTTTCTTCTTCCCATTCAAATATCATATTTATATAAAAGCGAAGTGAGGATTGTTGAGGCTGGTGAACTGCTTGTCTGCCACTTGGTGGGCCATCTGTTTAACATTGCCAAACTCCTACTCATCCTTAAAGACAGAACAAAAGTGTCTTCTCTCCTTGGAAGCCCTCCAGCTCTGCCCCAAACAGAATCAAGCATTCGCCACTCTGGCTTCCTAGAATACTCTGCTGGTACTGCTGACTATTAACCGTTCCCCAATATTTGTTGTTTTCTCCCTCTATAAAAGAAAGAGAACCTATAAAATAAAGATGACATTTCCTCACCTCCCTTACATCTATGTGTAGCCATGTGACTAAGATCCAGTTAATGAGATTTAAGCAGATGTGCCTTGTAGCTGTTTCTGGGAGCCCTCCTTCAAAAAACAGCTCATGTGACTCCTTCGTCTCTTTGTCCTTTTCTCCATTCTGCTGCCTGGAATGTGAACGTGATGACTGGAGCTCTAGTTGCCATCTTGGACCCTAAGAACAAGGGTCCTATCTTAGGAAAGTTGGAACTGAGCTAGAAGAAGTCAGAGTCCCTAAGGACTTATCAGAAATAACATATAGCCCCTGAATTGCCTACCTTCAGACTATTATGTGGGAGAGAAATTTCTACCTAGTTTGAGCCACTTTTAATTTTGAGTCTTTGTCACTCACATACAAACCTAATCCTAAATTACCTCTCTAATATGTGGTACTTTCCACACCTTAGCATAATTGTCTGTTTGCTATTCTCTCCCCTGCTAGACTGGGAGCTCCTCTAAGCAGAGATTAGGTTTCAGATTCTGCCCAGTGCCAGACACATTAGAAGTTGCTCAATGAAATGTTTCCTGAAGGAAGTGTGGTGAGTGCATAAACAAGCGTGCAATGTCAGCAGAGCACTTGCCACGAGCAGCAATGCATGCACTTTGTATGCATTAGCTGACTTAATCCCCATAAGAACCCCATGAGGAAACCACGGCAATTGAGAGGTTCAGTGACTTGCCCGAGATCACCAGCTGTTGAGTGACAGCGCTGGGACTGGAACCCCAGTCTGCCTCAGTCCCCAGCTTACGTATTTTCTACATCAGCCACTGCTCTCCCCCATGCTCCCAGGATGGAGGGCTGAGTTGTTGAGCTGTGCCTGAAAGGTCTCCCTATACGTGTTCCTCTGTTGAGAAAAATGACAAATATCTAGGAAATTGCACGTATACTTTTTGTATTCCTCTCACTACCAGTTTTACTAAATTTGTTCTTCTGTGTTTTTGTTTTTTGTTTTTTCCTCTCTTGGCATCTTCTGATATGAATTCAACCAATGAGAGAACCTCTTTTGCCCAGAAGAATTCAATGGATGGCTCACAAATACAGAATACCTCAAAAGGTACATTAACCACCTGAAGGGGAAATGTAGGCTTTTGATTTAGTTATCATCTCCAAAACTGTAGTTTCTTGGGCTTTTTGGAACCTAATCTGCCACCGTCATTTGCACCTGTGGTTCTAGCCTTGGGCCTTGACATCAAGCAATATCTTACGAGAAGACACAATTGTCTTCTCAGTTCAGTTATCACTAGTTAAGTTCCACTTTTGTGACAGTGAGTTCAGCACAGTGCTAATATCTGTGGGGAAGAGAGAGATTGTTGGCAATGGAAGGAAATAAATCTAAGATATGATCACTGCTTCTCTCCCCCATCAGAAACCAGCATTTATTGAGTTAGAAACTGATTTGTACCTGGGTGTTAATTTACAAAGGTGACTGAGTGACTGCACAGGTCAATGCCATTGAAAGAAAACTTTGTTACTCTCTGTTCTAGAAACGGGAGGCACAGCTCACCATGCAGGACCCTGGGAGGGAGCTCCAGTGTTGGTTAGGAGGCAGAAAATGCTACCGAAAGCTCGGCCTCTCTGGACACTGGCGCCAAATCCAATCCCGGGGTCAGAGTTTTGGGGGAAGTAGAAAAGGATAGCTTTATTGCTTTGCCAGGAAAAGGGGGCCACACTGGGCTTGTGCCTCATAAAAGCTATGTGTCCCAGTCCCAGAGGATTTGATGAGGGGTTTTATAACAGTGGTTCAAAGGTGGGGTCCTGACAAGATTAGGGCTCGCTGCTGCTGCCGCTGCCGCCGCCGCCGCCGCCGCCGCCGCCGCCGCCGCCGCCGCCGCCGCCGCCGCCGCCGCCGCCGCCGCCGCCGCCGCCGCCGCCCCGCCCCCCCACCCCAGCCCCCGCTTAATCTTGTCTCAGGTGGTTTCCTGGCTGCTCCTCCCTTGATTAGCAACTGTTTGAATCCACCCTTTGCAACTCAGGGAAGGTCATGGAGGCTGGGGTCTTGCCTGCAAGAAATGGTGGACAAAAGGAGGCCTCCGTGCCAGGCCTCCAATTGGTTTCAGGGCCCGGGAGCCCCACAGGGCCCCGCTCGGTTTCAAAAGGAGCAAGGGGAAAGCACAGGCCACAGCCCTTACTGGGATTTCCTTGGGAAAGGCAAGACACGACAGGGTAAACCACTTAGGATTGGCTGTATTGAATAATTCCGGTGGGCTTTGGAGTATAAGGGCCGTCCCTAGTTGTGTGGCACCTGGGCCTGGGCTGATTTAAGTCAGGGGAAATATTGGCTTGGTGTGAGAGTTAGATAAAGGAGCTAGTTCAGAGTATGGGCTCTGCATCATGGAGGAGTTGTAAACAACTTTGGCCATTAGTTTGGCCCTGTGATGAATGGGTGCCAGATAGACAAGTATAGAACCTAAGAAACCTGAGTTAGAACACAAACACTTAAGTATCATTCTAGACCATTTCAGTCATGTCATCAGTATTTGAAAAAAGTTAAGCAATCCTTTTTCTTGATGGAGAAATGGAGAACTACGTGAATTACATCTCAGTAAAGCTGTTAAAAAAACCCAAAACTTGGGGGCCACTCACTGAGAGGTATAGAGGGGATTCCAAATAGAGGTAAATATTTGTGGGAGACTTTGCAAGTCCCCAAAATATACATATATAGACCTATGAGTCAAAGAGGAGGTATCAAGAGAAATTAGAAAATATTTTGAACTGAGTGAAAAGGAGACCTTTTTCCCTAATATGACCATTTAATGCTACAGAGTTCCCTCTGCATGCTAGGCATCCCACAAATGTTTTAGATAGAGTGTTTTTATCTTTATTCAGTTTGTGTTGTTTCTACTTTGTAACTATCATAAATAATGCTGCTATGAACGTTCATGTACAAGTTTTTGTGTAGACATATGTTTTCATTTCTCTTGGGTCTATGTATACCTAGGGTGGAATCTCTGGGTCATATGTTTAGCATTTTGAGGAACTGCCAAACAGCATTCCAAAGTTTTTTAAAGAATGTAAGAGGAGGGCTTCCCTGGTGGCGCAGTGGTTGAGAGTCCGCCTGCCGATGCAGGGGACGCGGGTTCGTGTCCCGGTCTGGGAAGATCTCACATGCCGCGGAGCGGCTGGGTCCGTGAGCCATGGCCGCTGAGCCTGCGCGTCCGGAGCCTGTGCTCTGCAACGGGAGAGATCACAACAGTGAGAGGCCCACGTACCACAAAAAAAAAAAAAATGGGGAAAAAGAAATTCATGTGTCTATATAACCAGATAGATTTATAATATATATTATATATTTACTATTTATATTCTATATTTACTATATATATTGTACTTACTATATATAACCAGATATTTACAGTTTCTGTTGCTTTTCCTTCATTCCTGAAGTTCCAAGTTTCCCTCTGGTATTATTTTCCTTCTTACACGCCCCACTCCCAAAAGAAAACCCTTCATTTAAAATAAGCCTGCTGGCAATGAATTTGCTTAGAGTTTTCTTTCTTCTGAGAATGTCTTTATTTCACCTTCATTCTTTTTTTTTTTTTAATGGCCTACTCACAAGACTGCCTTTATTTTTTTTAACATCTTTATTGGAGTATAATTGCTTTACAATGGTGTGTTAGTTTCTGCTGTATAACAAAGTGAATCAGCTGTAGGTATACATATATCCCCATATCCCCTCCCTCTTGCGTCTCCCTCCCACCCTCCCTATCCTACCCCTCTAGGTGGTCACAAAGCACCGAGCTGATCTCCCTGTGCTATGTGGCTGCTTCCCACTAGCTATCTATTTTACATTTTCACCTTCATTCTTGAAGGATATTTTTTTCTGGTTATAGAATTCTGGGTCGAAAGTTCTTTTCTTTCCACACTTTCAAATGTTGTTCCACAGCTTCTGGCCTCAAGGGTCTGATGAGAAATCCACAGTCATTTAAATTCTTGTTCCCCTTTTGTGTCAAGCATTTCTCTTAGACTGTTGTCTTGCCTTTCAACTGGTTGTTTAGGATGTGTAGGGGCATGGGTTTCTTTGACTTTGACTTGACTGGGGTTTGCAGAGCTTCTTGAAACTGTAAGTTTATGTCTTTTGCCAAATTTGGGAGGTTTTTCAATGTTTTTTTGGTACCACACTCTCCTTTCACTTTAGGACTTTGATGACACAATGTTAGACCTGTTGATATTGTCCCATAGGTCCCTGAGGCTCTGTTCATTTTTTCTGGTCTTTTGTCTCTACACTGTTCAGGTTGTGTATATAATAAAAATACAGATTTGATCTTTGTCCCCAGTTCCTGGCACAGAGCTCCTAAAACCCTCGGGATTTCCTGCGTGATGGGAATGTCTTTTGTTATTCAGTATTAGCATCTTCCAGCCACACCTGAGTATATCCTAATATACTGACCCCGGTTGGGGCCTTAGGTAGCTTCAGGATAGGACCCAGAAAGACCAAAACATGAGGGACTTCCCTGGTGGTCCAGTGGTTAAAAATCCACCTTCCAGTGCAGGGGACATGGGTTCGATCCCTGGTCAGGGAACTAAGATCCCACATGCCGCGGGGCAACTAAGCCCGCGCACCACAACAACTGAGCATGTGGGCCGCAACTATAGAGCCTGCATGCTCTGCAGCCCGCACGCCACAACTAGAGAGGAGCCCATGCCCTGCAACAAGGAGCCCGCGCACCACAGCAGAGGATCCCGCATGCCGCAACGAAGACCCAAGGCAGCCAAAAATAAAAATAAATATTAAAAAAAAAAACAAGACCAAACATGATTAGAGGGTGGGAACTTTCAGCCTCACCCCTCCCAGCCTCCAGGGAGGAGAGAGAGACTGGAGACTGAGTTATAGAAACTCCTGAACAATGTGATTTGGTGAACTTCCAGGTCGCTGAACACACTGATGTGCTGGGAAGGTGATGTGCCTGAAGAGGGCATGGAAGGTCCGTGCTCCAGCCCGCACACCGTGCCCTATGTCTCTCTTCCATTTAGTTGTTCCTGAGTCGTGTCTTTTATAGTAAACCTGTAATAGTAAGCATAGTACTTTCCTGAGTTCCGTGAGCCATTCTACTGAATTATTGAACCCAAGGGGGTCATGGGAACCCCCAAATTTGTAGTTAGCTAGATAGAAGCACAGGTGGCATTTGACACTGGTGCTTGAAGTGGGGACAGTCTTGTTGGATTGAGTCTTTTAAGTAGTGGGATCTGACACTAATTCCAGGTAGATTTGGAATTGAATTAAATTGTTAGACACCCAGTTTATTTCAGAGAATTGGAGAACCGGTGTGGAAAACCACACATATGATATTAGAAAACATACAAATTGGATAATTTTTATTGATCTGTCTTCAAGTTCATTGTCTCCTTCCTCCATCACCTCCATTCTGGTATTGATCCCCTCCAGTGAATTTTTTATTTCAATTATTGTATTTTTCAGTTGTAAAATTTCTATTCAGTTCTCTGTCATAGCTTCTATTTCTCTACCGAGACTTTCTATTTTTTCATTTATTTCAAAAGTATTCACCCTGACTTCTTAAAGCACTGTTATAATAGCTGCCTTAAAGCCTTTGTCTGATGATTTCAACATCTGAGTCATTTCAGGATTGGTGATGCCGATTGTCTTTCTTCCTTGAGAATTTATCAGATTATCCTGGTTCTTTGTAGGTTGAGTAATTTTGGATTCTGTTCTGGATATTTTGAATATTTTGAGTCTTGTTTAAATGTATGAAGAATGTTGGAGTGTTTTGTTTCCTTTGTTTTAGCAGGCAATTCACCCAATTAGGCTCAGGTCATAAGTTTTGTAGATTGTGGTTTCAATGTTAGTTCAGTTTTCAGAACTTTTGCAGTGCTATTTTAATCTGTCCTAAATGTGTGCTACCCAGGGACCACATTTGAGACTTGAGAAGTGATCTACCCTGTAGTTCAGTTCTCAAAGCCATCTGTTTAGGGTCAGATACACATTTATATGTGCAGCTCAGGGGTGAGCATATGCATCCATACACAATTATTTAGGATTCCTTTCTTGATCTCTCTCCTCTCTGTAATTTCCCCCGTATATATATATACAGAGAGAGAGAGAATTTTTAGCAGCTCCTTACTGCAGTTCTCTTGGTAAGTTCCCTTGATTTTTGTTTTTCTATTAATGTCTTTATTTCATCTTTCTTCTTCAAGGATAGTTTTGCTGGGTATACACGTTTACCTTAATGCTTTGGTGATTTCATTCCACTGTCATCTTCTAGCTTGCATTGTTACTGTTGAGAACTCTGCAATCATTCTAACTGTTATCTGTTTATAGATAATCTGTTGTTTCTCTCTTCCTGTCTTTAAGATATTCTTTATTAACCTTCTACAGAAGAACCATAACTTTATGCAAGAGTTGGATATTTTTTTCTCTTTTAATCACAACACCTTTCCTGATTCTGCTTAGCATTTTTAAAGCCTTTAGGCTCCTTCTTCCTTATTCTGGGACCAGACTGTATTGTACAGAGAATTCTATCATGGCACATGAGTTAGTGTTACACTTATCATTTACCTGTCTTTTTTTCTTACTAAGCTGTGAGTTCCTTGAAGATAGTCTACTTCCAGCACCTAGCATGGGCCCAGCACATAGTAAAGGCTCAGTAAAATGTTGGATGGATGGATAGAAGGATGGGCAGATAGATTAGTAAATGGACAAATGTATGGCCACAAGTGTACATCTGGCTAAAATGCAAGTGAAATTCTATGAATTTACCTGAGTGACTTCCTCTAGCATCTCCCAATGATCTGAATAGGCCCAGGCATTTTCACATTAATAGAAAGCTGAGGTCTACCATATGCTTTTTCTCATCATAGCTGAGAAGCTCTATTGATCATTTTTTGTTCATACTGCATTGACAGAGCATAATTATCAGACTCTGGTCTTGAGGAAAGCAACACAACAAGTCAAAAGGATATCAGCAGCAAGAGGACTTGAGAATATGCTTCCTAAGCCGGTGAGCACGTGATTGCAAACTTAATAGCAGAGATGATTTAAAGGGGGCTGGGAGATCTGGCTAGAAGAGCTAGCTCTGTGAAGATGTCAGGGTGAGAACTGGGGTATTTCTGGTTGTAGACTTGGGTGAAACAGTAAGGAAATCTCATAAGGGTAATTACTGACTGAGGTAGGCACAAGTTGAGTGAGAATTTTGCCTGGATTCCTCCAGGATTTAAATTACTTGCTTGAAACTCAAGAGCCTGGGTGTAATGGAAAGAGAACAGAGTCTCAGTTTTCTACTCTATGAAATGGAGACAATAATTCCTAGGTCCTGGTGTTCTTATGAGGTTTACCTGAGGTAGTGATGATAATTAACATGTAATGAACCCTTACTCACTACATGTCAGGTACTATACTAAACCTGTGCATACAGTGTATTTTATTTTACTGTTACAGTCGTTTGAGATCATTACTCCTGCTATTCTTCAGTTTATTAGTGAGGAAAGTGATGCTCAGAGCAGGTAACTAATTTGTCCAAATTCACAAAGCAAATAAGTGATAAAGCCAAGACTTGCCTGCAGATCTGCCTGACTCTGAGCCTGAGCTCTTAACCTCTGAGCTTTGCCACCAGCACAGCCCCCAGAACACAAGAGGCGAAGGATTACGGTGTGTTCTCTCCTCTTCTCCTCCCCTCCCGCAAATCTTCCCTACAAACCTCAGTGCATATGGTAGTTTATACCAGTGGCACGTTCAGTCTTCCGTAGTGGGAAGAGGCCCTTAGGACCGTGAACAGGACAAGAGGCTTTGGGGCTTCCGCAAGCACCAACTAGCAAGGGAGTCAGGCCACAGCGTTTGGATCAAGTATAGCAAGTATTGTGGAAGATTCTTTCTTTCCTTCTTTCTTTCTTTTTTTTCTTTCTTTTTTTTTTTGGCCGCACCGTGCAGCTTGCAGAATCTTAGTTCCCTGACCAGAGGTTGAACCCGAGTCCTAGTAGCCGCTGGACCACCAGGGAATTCCCTGTAGAAGGTTTCTTGAATGTTCTTTGTTTCTCCATAATTATTCCACTGCCTATTTCCCCTCGGCATTTAGCAGTGAAACTTTTGAGAAGTAGCAGGGCCTGGTGGAAAAGACAGACAGACATGAGTTCAAATCTTGGTGTTCCCGCGTCCCCTGCATCGGCAGGCGGGTCCTCAACCACTGCGCCACCAGGGAAGCCCTATTTATTTATTTTTTATTATTATTTTTTAATACCATAGTTTTTATTGAAAAAATTTTTGCCTGTGGTAAAACCAAACAGTATTAAAGGATATGTAACAAAAAGTTAATCTCTCGGGCTTCCCTGGTGGCGCAGTGGTTGAGGATCCGCCTGCCGATGCAGGGGACACGGGTTCGTGCCCCGGTCCGGGAAGATCCCACGTGCCGCGGAGCGGCTGGGCCCGTGAGCCATGGCCACTGAGCCTGCGTGTCCGGAGCCTGCGCTCCACAACGGGAGAGGCCACAACAGTGAGAGGCCCACGTACCACAAA